AGCAGCAGGTGGCAAGTGCAGTGGCAGTAGCAGAAGGAGTGGTGGCAGCAGAGGTGGTTGTAGTAGTGGTGGTGGTGGTTGTGTAATCCAAGGGCTTGGATCACACACCCACCTTTTGATCCATACCCTATGGATCGAGGTATGGATCGTGTGTGGGTTTGGGTGTGTGATCCAAGCCTTATGTTTCTGGCCGTAGCCATTTGGGTGCGCCCCTGTTCTTTTGAACCAACGCACGTGTTGTCCCAACGCGACACACCCATCCAGGACAATCCCTTGATCAAAAGATCACTTCCTCCAGCGACTTGCCCCTTCTTTTTCAGAACAGGGGACAACTGGCGTCCCGAAAAGCATCTTTCTTGGGGGGCTCTTCTTTTTTGGGGGGGCCTCCAAACCCCTTTTTAATTTTTCAGAAATGTCTCCGCTTCTCCCATCTCCCAAAAAGCGCCGACCCTCTGGTGGTCAGAAGAACTGCCACCGAACGAGGATCCCAGACCAACGCTTCAGGTCCAGCAAGGGCGAGCGCGCTGCGAAAGGTGAGGACCGGTGGAAGGAGCTGGACGCCTCGGCGCGAAGCGGAAACAGCGATGGTCGCGGTGGAGGAGCGGCCATCGGTGGGGACTCCTTTTGGAGTGGGAACACATGGAGCTTGGAAGACTTCTGCATTCTTGACTAACATTGACGAACAACTTCTGGCAGGATCAGGAGGAGTGGATCCAGCATTGCAGAAAAAACAACACTTCTTGAAGCTTGTTGAAACACATGTTCCACTGAGCATCCTGGGCACCATCATGTCGTCTGAATTATGGCTCAAGCCACCCCAGCTGCCAGAATTACAGCCCTAGCGGCTCTAGCGCTTTTAGGATCTTTTAGGTGCCTCAAAATACGTTACCCACGAACATCTTCCAGGTGGCGAATCTCTTTCGCCCGAACGGTCCATGTCTCTCTGTCTCTCCACCACGGTCCGTCTGTACCTCCAGGACCACCTGGACGACCCGGTCGGGGAAGCTCTGGGAGATCAGCATGAGACCTCGGTGCGGCGAGGAGACCTCGCCACGCGGTGCGCCATGTGGTGCTCGGTGCCCGGTGCCCAAGCAGGTGAGGAGAAGAAAGGCCGAGGAGAAGAAACTTGGAGTTGTGGATTGGAAGAGCAAAAAATCAGAGATGCCCTGCCTCAGAATGACGATTTACCCGTAGAGAACATAGAAATCACGTGAAATCACCCTTAAAGCAAAACCAGGAGGACCTATGGAGCCCAATTGAGGGGGCAGCTAGAAGGTGTGCAAAGCTGGTCCCGGCTTTCAAAAAGCTCAACGCTCTGCCCCCTTTGCATCAGTGTGTCAAACTGCATTAGCAGTCCTACCTCAGGGTTTCACAACATCCCCCACCAATCTCCGATTCTGCCACTGGCCGATTCCGTCGGAACCTGGGGGAATTCTCCGACGTCGCCTCTCTAGAACCGTCGGCCGGTCCATGTATTCCTTTTTGTAGATACCCTGGCGCCCTGGCCTTTTTGGAGCAAAAATCACAACAAATCTGGCAAATCCCTAGGGTCCCTAGGTTTAATTCTTTGAGCTGCACCACACCCCCACAGCTGACTAATACAGCTCACAAAAAAGTCGGGTCATCAACAGAAGGCCCGTCCGTAGAGATGAAAACCCAAGGGCAAAATGCATCATCGCAGGTGTATCCGGATTGTCACTTCAACACTCCTGATTCATGGCATTCAACACTCGTTCGTCTGTGCGTCCCAAGTGGCGTGCTTCTTCTGAGGGAACTTGGACGGACCATCGGAGAACGAATCTGGTACCTTCGCGGGTGAGTTCGGGACACGCAAAATTCATGGCAAGGCTCTCTTCATTTCTTCCCTCTGCGCTCAGCCAGCCGGCGCTGCAGGCCCATGCATGCCCATCGTGCATGCCCATGCTGGGTCTGTAGACGGCAATGATGTAGTTTACGCCAACCAGACTCATGTTGCGCCCCAGGGTACACACTTCTATCAAAGACCTCTCGCTGAGGTCCGGATGCCTCAAGGCCTCAGGCAAGTGGCGTGGGATTCTCCCCATGTAATGACTTGAGAGGAAGAAAACACCAAAAACATCAACAAACTGACCCATCAGTGTCGTGGGGGTTGATGAGAAGTGCGGTGACCCCAAAGCTTTAAGCGTGCATGCAAGTTACTACGTGCATGCAACTACAACAATGTCTTTGTCCGACTACCACGCTCTTCCCACGGACGACGGATTCTCGGCTTCAAGACTAGAGCGTGTCGTAGCCATCGTTCACCTGCAACGTCTTCATCGGATGTGGTGAGTTCCACATGGAACCTGTTAGACTCTTAGACCTTTTAAAAAACCATCTTCCTCTACAAACCGGGTGCTTTTCTTTTCAGGAAAAAATGTGGATCTCTGAACCGGGGCGTATGGATCTCAATCTATCTTAATCCTATTCTGTTTGGTGTTAACCTGACTTATCGAACAGTTCAAATGATTTCAGCGTCTCACTCCAGGTCCAATGATCAAAAGAACCAGCCAAGTCTTTTCCATGTCGGCACGCTTACTCACCCTTGGTCAATGGTGGTCAACCACCAGCAGCTTCACGCTCCAAGGGGGCCGGGCTTGGCCGGCCGCCGGGTCTTTCACTTGGGGCGCTGGCTGCACTGGTGATGCCCACAGGCAAAAAAAACTCCATCCATGCGTGAAAGTGGCCAGTGGGAAGGCAGGATGGAATCGTTTTCCGGTGAGATTTCATCCATGGACTTCATCCAGTTGGATCAGCACGATGGAATATTCCATCCATGCGGCAGGTTGCCCACGGAACCGGAGAGCCTCCAGGCTCGGTCTTATTCTGCCATGTTCTGCCTATGCTCGGTCTGAAGACCGAAAGACCCCGTGGGTCAAAACCCAAAGCACCAAACGCGGGTGGGTTGACATCCCTTATAGATCTTATATAGTCTTCTTAGAGGAATCTGTTCATTTTCAGCGGTCAACCAGGGTTACGGGGTTAGTCAAAGGAAGATTGAACAAAAGCATCTGTTGTGCCGCTGTCGATTGTCTTTTGACTTGTAGCACATCCACAAGAAAATATGGAGATGAATCGTATCTCCAGTATAATGTCAGCCTAGGCGCAGGATCAACCAACCTCCCCATATTCATCAAGCCCAGCTCGAGCCCCAGCTCCAGCCACTGTAGTAGCTCTGGGCGTTCCTGGTCTAGCTCTTCAGCTTGCCTTTCTCTGGTGCCAGCCAGCAGACAGGGTTCCAGCAGTGTCAGCCTGGGAGACCTGTCTCGATCGATCTCGATGAGCTCAAAGGACTTGTCTGGGGGAGGCTCGGTTGGAGGCTCTGTCTGTGGGCAGACCTCCAGCAGACCTCCGAGCTTGCACTCCAGGGCATCAAGGTGCCTGCAGGGGCCTCCAGGGGCCTTGAAGGTGTTGTTTCTTCCATTACATGTTTGGATAGGACCATCTCACAACGGATGGCTGTTTTGCCAAACACCGCCTTTGCCTTTCTTCACATTGCAAATGCTTGCAGCTCCACTTCAACAAAAAGGTTTGCAGCATCCAAAGTTCATCAAGTTTCTCCAACGACTTTCGCAGGCTGGACCCGGAGCTGCTTGACTCCCACAGCCAATACGAACATGCGGGTGGCATCTTCCTCCAGGTGCCAGGTTTGAGGAATGAAACACCCATCAGCACCACCCAGTTCAGGTGGTTATTGCATGGAAGACACACGGTCCGGGGCGTCTAGAAGACCATCCGAGCTGGGTGGTGGCGGAGGTACATCCCATTGGAACAGCGTAGAGGTTGCGCTCGCCCAGATCTGTGTCCAAGGCCTTGGTTGCAAAGAGAAGCTCCAATGGCGTCTGGCCGAGCACCCCAGGACGAGGCAGAGCTGCGCCCGGCAGCTGTGCCCTTCACGTCCTTCCTCGGGCAGCTGCGCGTTTTGTTGCGGACATGACCAGATTCTAGCAACTTGGCTCCGCAAATTGGTCCTGAAGATGTTGGAAGCATGTTTGAAGTACCTAGCGGCCTAGCGCTCAACCTTGGAAGTTGGAAGTGTTCAGGACAAGAGCTACCTTCAGCGTCCGCCAAGCCAAACGAATCCCATCAGCGTCCGTTTCATTACGTCCATCAGCACTGAGGAGGTGCTAGAAAATCGGTTGCGGCACCCCGGCTGGGTCTGGTTCACTCCCGAAACATGAAACAAAGTAAACACGGCCGCCCTGGGTCTTTGCAGGGCAAATATTCCATGCACCAGGACCATCCAAAAGGTCTCCGAAATGGAGGGTTGTTGGGCCTAACAGGTCTCAATTGGTGACCTGTTGGAGGGTGCTGGTACATGGAGTGCTTCGGGTAACACATGGTAAAACATGCATCTATAATCAAACGGTGAGCCCACAAACATGATCAGCCCAGGATAAATACAAATTATTTGAACTATTTGATACTATTTGCAACAGCAGGTTGATGTTTAAAGCTTCCCACATAGAGAAATTTTGATCAAGGGATTCTCACTGCTTTTCAGCTTGAAAACGCCGCATTGTTCAGCTTGTTCAACCGCCCGAGCCGCCTGTGTTTCCAGCATCTCGATCGATGGCACCGAGCCACCTGGATCGTCATCGATGCCCTCTTCCTCTTTCAGACCGAAAAAGCACTCAAGAAGAGTACCGGGGTGTTGTGAACACATGCCATGGCAAAGTGATTTCCTTTCGAATATGGAGTTTGGTGTGACTCGTATGACATCAATTAAACACATTACATATATGTTTATATTATATATATAGCTAATTCATGCTACCAGTAATTCGAAGAAAACACACACCAAATCTTCAAAACTGGAGATGAATCACCACAGCACCACGGCAAGGTCCATTATGTCCATCAATAGTTCCATTAACCACTTGTTGGGGGTCCTGGCTAACCATGTTCCAACACTCCAGTTCTTCCAGGACCCCCCATCCTTCGCGTTACCGGGCGTCTACCGCACAGGCGGCCGCACAAGCCCGGTGCCCGCCAAGCGCCACCTGCCAACCAACATCCCAGCGGAACACCATCGGTGAGACGTGCAGTGGGGTAGTTACCTGGTTCGACAAGGGGGGAGGACTCCTGGAGGACCCCTGAAGGCCTCCTCCCTGCAGGACTGGATCGATCCACTGCATCTCGAGGCGTTCGACACCACTGCGAAGACCTTCGATCGGGGACCTGGGGGGGCGCTGGACCCTGAAGCCGGAGAACACGTTTTCGGATTCTTGGGGTCTCGTGGGTCGCCTGGATTTGTCCAAACACAGAAAGAGCATGAAAGAGCTGATAGCAAGGGCCAAGAAGGAAGTGCTACTCAAACAAACTCTTGGTCGCCTCATCTCTCATTTCGACCTTTCGACCATTCGAACTTCGGAACTGCCTCGCAGTCTGCCTCGCTGCAGAAACACCGGTCAATTCTCCCGCCTTCTTGACTTGGAGCAGCAGTCACATGTCCACGATCAAGAACCTGCAGGTTCCGGTCAAATGTCCGTGGTTCCGGGTCGTCCAGGGTACTTGAGCGATGGAAAAGGCCCAGCCTGACATCAGCCTGTTGTCACTCGGAAGATACACCTTTTGTCGCTTCTGAACACAGCACGGATGGAAAAGGGTGTCCATGAAATAATCCCGTAAAGAGGTCAAGGGTTGTCCATGAAAAACCTTGGGGGGGGTTCCTGGGTTTTCATCCTTTTTCTGTGACTCAGACTATAACACGGTCATGTGCCAAGCTTTCAAACAATGCCATGCATGCAAGGCAAGCAGCCTGCGAGCAGCTTAGGGCTAAGGGCCTTCCCGGGGGTAACTCTGATGTGGTGGGTTGTTCTATGTTGTTCTTGATTTTGCTGGCTGAAGTGACTGAAGTGGTCTTTGTGTAGTGTCATCCCCAACCATCCCCATCATCTCATGGTAACTATGACATCACATAGATGCCATGTCTCCTTTTTCGCAACGGAAACTACACCCTTCCGGGGTCCCCGGAATAGTCATGGTGCTCTGATAAAAGCCCGCACCCCAAAGTACTGGGAGACTCCGGTTCTGGTTTCCTTGGCCATCAAGATTTGGGCCGGTGTCTTTTTACCTTGTTGTTTACTCCCCTGCAGAGGACCACATTCCCCAGGGTCAGAACGGGCCTGTTTTCTGCGCTGGAAGAGCCACGAGGCGTGGGGGTCTCTCTGAGTCTTGACTTGATTGGATGCAGTCCAAAGAAATCAATGGACCTGTTAGACCGAGGTCTTGGACGATCTTTTGCTTTCGGCCCTTGACAATCAGAAACATTTCGGGATGCAACTTGCGCGTCATATCCTTTTCACCCATTACGAAGTAAAACTTGCCACACACACAACCCAAAAAGACCCAGCCCCCAGATCCCCAGCCTGGGCGCGCGCTTTTTTCCGTGGCGAAACGAGCGTGCTGTAAACCGCTTTTCCGCGCCTGGCGCAGCTGTTCTCGCATGCCAAGGCTGCCCAAATGAACGTCATCGACCACAATGCATGTCTTCACTGGCCTCCGAGCATTGGACCGCAGGTCTGTGTGTACATGAACGACAAACCAGTCGCAGGTCTGTGAGCATGTTGACACAACAGAAAGAACAATAGCTTTGTCTTATACATCGTATATACTATCGATACTTGTCAGCTAGGTGGGTGAGCCACGGATCGAATTGGTCGGTGCCGGCGTGTGGGGCAGTCAATATGATCACCAGCAGCTTAAAGCAGCTTTGAATTGAAGGGAAGAGATTCAACCGCCCCAAGTCACTTAGGTCTCCTGGAGGTTTCTAGGAGAAAAAGGTTTGTAGTCGGAACCTTCAAGGAGAACTATGTGTACTCCCCTGCAGATTCACATGGAACCGCAAAACCACTGGGTGGGTCTTCGCCGAAACCACAGGTCCATTCGGCCATGTATGTCCGTCCGCGGTGGGAAACATCCCCTCGAAGGTCATGATTTTTCAGGTAAACCACTGGCCTCCAAATAGAAAGAGTGACGGAATCATAGCAGGATGGATTTGTCATGTATGGTGAATCCAATGGCTTTCGCAGATGTCAGCCGAATGGAAGAGATGAACATTCACACAAAACGAGAAGAGTGGACTTGTCATACAGATAGTGTCCATGTCACCGAAATATGGTCATATATACCTTCCAAGGTCCGGTGGTTTTAGAAGCCTAACAGGTGGTGAACCTGGGCACCGGACTTGTCACCAGGAAACACCTGTTGGAGGGTCCAGGTACATGCTTCTCCAACTGGTTCTACCTCCCTTTTCCAGCTGCATTTGACAAAAGAAGGCTACCTACCCTCAACGTTCCCACTTTCCGGCTCGCACTTGGGGGACCCCACAAGGAGCTCAGGGTCCTGGAGCCTTTCCTGTGGAGACATGTACCCACGGAGGACGATCGATGTCGTTACTCGAAGGTTTGGAACCAAAGGGTTGGATGGTGTTGGATGGAAGTCAATGGGTGGAGTTGCTTTTAAAACTGGAAAAACTGCACGAGCGACTTGTTGTTTGCTCAATATGGCCGTGTCACGAGCCATTTTAGTTGCTCAAATGCTGTATCGAGCGACCTTTGGACACTTCGACAGTTTCGAGGACCTGTCTTGAAGAAAGGATTCGCATGCAGAACTGTCAGTTGTTACAGCAAAACCAAACGTGCAAAAAAAACATATATATATATATATTTGAATTATGGCAGTACATGGCCATAGATCGACGACTATCGAAATGAAAAACACATCAAAATATCAACATATATGGGCCCATATATATATATATATATATACCAGCACCTTCAAACGGGTCACCAATGGAAGCCCCTACACTATTAAGGGACCTCCACTGGACACCCTTTGAAGGTCCATATATATATATGTGTATACACGGCCTGATTTTTTGCTCGGGGATGGAGACAGTGATCTGGAAACAAAAACGAGCAAAACCTGTATGTGGGGGTATTTGAGGAACTACCCCGTATGAAGCAACAAAGAAGTACCAGCAATAATGTTTGATCGTTTGATGTTCCAGGATGTTCCAGGTAAATACAGCATCTGACTTGCAACTTTGGGTGGGTAGAAGATGGTGGCGGTAGATTCAAAGAATGGAAACTCTAAAAGATTTCGCATTATTATCAAGCTGGAAACCATTGCAATGAGTGGATCTATATACAGTAGCAACCTGAGCCGGAGCCACAATTAGGTTGGACACTGGAGGAACATGGAGGAACCAGAAGAAGGAAGAGAGTACATCCTGCGCAGGACAAAAGGATCTGCTTCACTTAGAGGTCCGTGTGGAGGTATGTATTCAAACCCTGCGAGTTTCATGAGTTCATGCTCCAGAAAAGGCCTATGACTGTGGTACTTCTTCATGTCGTTCACTGGCGTAAATAGGGTGCTTTGCAACCGGCTGTGGAGTTAATTGACAATCCATCGAGAATGGTGAGGCGTAGGAGTGGGAACTCACTCACTCTATAGAGGTAGATAGTCCACCTCGTACAGAACATAGGAACAAGAAGCTACTAGGGGCTCCTGGCATCGCTACTAGGAGCAAGAACACTGCTAGGGGCTCCTGGCCCTACTACTAGGAGCAAGTACGCTACTAGGAACAAGATACAGTAAAGTCCCCAGAAGTGGCTCTGCTGAAACCCACCCCCACCTGGGCATCTTCTCCTGGACGAATCCCGCAAAACCTGCCTGAGATCAAGTCGGTTGGTGACTTCTGCGCGCTGACTCTTTGTGTTCAATTCCCAACATGTCAACCTAATAGTAATGGCCTCCAACCCAATAGCAATGGCTCTGTTGTCTAGTGTTCATCTCTGCATTCACAAAGTCAAATTGTGTCCACTCTCGAAGCCACTTGTCCACTCTGCCTTCAGCATTGGCACTGGTCCCAGTCGCTGCCCCGTTATTTCCCACACGGGACCCCCCAAAAAATACCTAAATATATAGTATATGTCTCAATAATTTCCTGCTTGGGATCCTGGCAGCAGAGATTTGATGCGGGCATCGCAGGAGCTCGAAGGTGCATCGCGACCTGCAAGCTACGAGGTTCTATGTGAAGATCAACCAGAGATCAACCAGAACCCTTGCAAAGCAATGCAAAACATATTTGGGTGCATCTCAGGAAAGTGAACCCATCTGGAGCCACACCAAAGACTTCTAAGAGTGGATGACAGCCTGTGAATTGGGTGACGACTATGAGACAAGTTTTTTCTGCAGGCATAGTTTAACATGGTATCACCTGTGGTTCTTTCATGTTTCTGGTGGCGGCCTGAAAAGCAACTCGAGGTCACGGTCAATTCCTTTGTGTCCACGAGCCGCCCCCCTTGAGGCCGGGCCAAGAAACTCAAACATATCCAATAGGTTGTCACGGGGGCAGGAAGAGGGAAGTGCTCGGTCAGACTACCTCCGCCCCACGAGCTGGCAAGTCTCCACATCACAACAAAAGACCCTGAGCTTGGAAACCGTCTCTGGCAGTTCATTCTTCTCGTGTTCACTCCGCACCCAGCGGTTCACCAGCAATCACTGGCTTTGCCGGTCCAAAACAATCCACGAAACGTCTCGGTCACCGGGAGTCTGTGGAGTCTCGGTCACCAGGCGTGTGGGTCCGCGAGAGCACCAGGTGTTCTCCCAGCGCCTTTGTTAGACCCGAAGGTGTGGCAGTGCGTCGAACGCTTGGAGCCCGCCCAAGGAACAACAAGATGTAATGGTGTTCAACTAATGGTCTGTCTATTATATGACGTAAGCATAATGTAATATATATTTTTCTGTAAAGCTTTTGGTGTGTAAAACTTTGCTAAACATGCTCAAACATGCTCAAGTTTACGCAACCGTGCTTACATGGACCCCCCCAAAGAAAACCTCAATGTAGGCAGATATGGCATACATGGATCTACATGGAGTGTACTATGGAGTGTCTGGGACATGGTGTTGTGAAATCAAACGTGTCTAAATGCAAGAGGAACGAGACATCGGAACATATCGGAACAAAATCGCGGCCAGGTGTTCAAATCAAATACTCAAAACCTCGGGAGGTAGGCTGTATACGGATGACATGGACTGTAAAACCTCTTTGGCTTCCTGGCCGGTTGAAATAGGTGCAAAATGGTGCAGCTGTCCACATGACCTACCTGGTTCTTGAGTTCGTGACCAAACTTGATCCCCTGGTTGGTTCAGTCACAAACAGGCCTGCTCAACAAACAAACGCTGAGAGGGACTCCAGCAAAGGTTGAGTTGAAGAAGCTGGTCGACCCAATCTCATGAAAGGAACCGCCATCTTGGGCAGGGCTCGACTCTAGGAATGAACCATCCGCTGGATTTGGGAGCGGCTTTGAGCGGTTTGGGCGAATGCTTGAAGCACTTGACCCGTTGGAACTCACTTTCTGGTATTGGCTACCCGAACCATGGCCAACCGAAGGTTGGGCCCTCCCAATGTCTACCCGTCTACCCGTCCTAAACGGACCTGGTCGATCGTCTGAGTGTCAGACCGACTTCCCAGATGATGGACCAAACAGCCGAAATCCCAAGCCGCACTCCACGCGCACCTGCGATCCGGCAGCCGGGGGCGGTCTGAGGCCGATCCTTTTGGACCGTCCGCGACTCGCGAGTCCCTTGGACCGTCCGAAGTGCCGGACGGATGTGTGGAAGTTTGGAAGAACGCGGACGAATGGAAGTCTATGAGTCTATCGCGAGTCATACTGAATATCGGATTTTGATGTATTTTGTGTTGTGCGACATGACATGTCAAGTGCCAATACGATCTTCCCACTCTCTTCGTTCATCATGTTCATGAAATGCATCCACTCGAAAATGAACTTTAAACCTAGACGGGACGGTGGATGGTTCTTATACCTTGGACCGGGAGGAGGCACCATATTCACTCCCACCCGGGTCGGGCCACCAGCCCTTCCCAAGTTGATTCCACCGTAAGCTTTATTTACTACAGTAAATGGACAGCACCCTCTCTCAATCAAAGCAAATGCCGTATGTTGTTCATACCATACAAACACCTATACAAACTGGAGCTTGGATGTGGTTGGTGGCGAATGATATGAGAGGAACGCTTTGGGACGTTTGAGCCCCCTTTCAGCGATTGTTCCGGGGCAACGATGGGGAACTGACATCCACCTCCCTCATGGAACATTCCATGCACAGACCGTTGGTCGGTCGCCCTGCTCCTCGGTCCCACCTGGTGCCGCACCAAGAGTCGAATCGCCTCGCTCTCCTGGGTCGAGGAGAGCTAAAAAACCGCGTGAGCGAGCGAGGCAGCGGTTTGCTCCGTGCGGTGTGCTCTGAAAACGGCACCATCCCGCCGAGGTGGTGGATGATCGGCTCCGTGCAAAAACGCACGAAACGCGCGAGCTCATGATTGAAGGAGAAGCGCCTCTGGATTGAGATGAAATCTCTCACTGATGAAGCCGTGGACGTCCAGGGCTCCACAGGAAGCTGGGCCCTTGGCTCCATCCAGTTCATACAGTACCGGTGACCCAGTATAATCCGGTGGCAATTGAGCAGTATCCGCAAGATTCGAAGTCTAGGAAGTACTCCCCCGTTCTCCGAGTCATCAACATGAAAGTGGGATGCCACCAGCTGTCTAGTCTAGTCTATCCTAGTTTCCACTTCCACGACTATTTCTTCTAGTATAGTATAAAAATGATGTATGAAGATGTATGAAGTGTTCTGAATGTTCTGATGTATCCACAAAGAGTCAATGGAAAAGACCACTCCATGTTTTTCATTGATCTCCTCCCCCTCAACGGATGTCGTGGCGTGCCGGCTCCCCCAGGCACGGCTATCCTCATTTGGCACGTAGAGGTGGTGCGCGTCAAGCTCCTGTGTGTTCGTTGCAGGGGGCAACAAAGACTCTACGCTGTCATGCCTCCCTCACCCTCACGTATCCCTGAAAGTCCCGGACACCTTGGTGCAAAAGGAAAAACATCCATGATGTGAATTGCACCAAAAAGAATTCATTGAACATGCTACAAACCCAAAACGATAATATACGGCTTGGAATGCATCTTTGTCCATGCCCAAGTTGTACTCTCTCGGATACATGTGCTCAACAACATCCAACATATCCAACCCACATTTGGAAGAGCCTCAAACGCCGCTCTTAAGAGGCCCTCACCACGTACAGCAACCATCGTTTCGTGCCTGGAACCCTAAGACCCCAGGATGAACCTGTTTTGCCGCCTGTGTTGGTTGGAAGACCATGGTCTTTTCCTTCGCTTCGCTCCGGAACGCTTCGCTCCTTGCGCCTTTCTTTCGCGGTAACGTGTCCTGCGGGTCGGGCAAGACCTCCCAGAGTAACTTCACCGTGGTGCTTCCAGTCACCTCCCGGAGGCCTGGGACGGAGGCAGGCGAGAGTGGAGAGGGTCGGTCTGCGGTGGACACAGCCGGGTCCAACGGGATCCACCAGGTGGAGAGGTGGCTGCTGGCAAGTGATTGAAAAGATGACAAACAGCTACAAACAGTCCACAACATGCCAAAAGCAGAACATCGAAGCAAATAATATACACCACTCAATGGTCACACGCTCCCATCAGCTCACCAAACCGCCATTTCTCTTAATGGTTGCACCTGTGAGCGCAGCAGCGTTGCTCACAATGCGGAACTTCCAAAGGTTCTCCGGGTCTTCACGGACCTCAGCCCGGTCGCTCCGATCTTCCGTCCGGTCCGGTCGGACGGATGAGGCGTCGGCTTGCTGGAGTGCTGCAAGGCCATGAGGAAGACCATTGGCACCTGCCCCGCAAAGACTGGGCGTTGCCAGAATCACATCAGATAACCACTGCTAGTACCACTCTGCTCTTTGTTTAACATACCACCATTCATTGTACTTGTGTCGAATGGCTCCCTGCATTTCCAAAACTGAGAAGTTCGATGTTAGCCCTCACTTTCCCAAACCGTCAATCTTACCGTTGGATTCCCAAGTCTGCTGAAACGAGTCTTGCAGCAGGGTCTGTGTTCAGGTTCCATGTCTTCGCCGTTCAGGTTCCGTGAACACATGTGAAAACCCCCAAAAAGGCGAACGGGACCCAGGTGCTTCGAGGACAAAAGAAAACACGATATATACACCCTAGGCTTCCAAAACCATTCAAAGAAAGGTTGACCTGGTTGCGTAGTGTAAAATTCTGAGTAAAACAATGGTGGTTCGGTAAAGGCCATTAAAACAAGGGTTGTTGGAAGCCTAGGGTACATTGATATATATATAATATTATGTCATATGTAGCGATCACTGCTTGGTAGAAAAACACGTTAGACATCTGACACATCGAAACTCCTCACCGATTGGCAAATCGCCACCCCATCACCTCCTTCGGCCAAGTGATCGCACCTTCCGATTTCTGTAGAAGCCAGGACCCAAGCCTGTCGGCAGAACGGGTGGTAGGGAACCCCATGGGTTCCCAGCCATCCTCCCAATGTAATGTCTTTTTCTGCTCCATGAGCACGCAGCCATACATACTCCTACAAATTGACCCCTATGAAGAAGACAACATAAGACTCTCGGACATGTTGGACGAACATCAGGATCTCAGTATATAGCTACCTCTGGCTTCAAAATGAATGGTCATTCAGAAGCGATGTTTCTTTACGCGACGGCAGGGTGGTCCAAAACCACCCCATCGAACTCACCTCCTGCGCAGAGAGGTGTCCAAAGGACCTCCAAGCACCCAAGCCTGGGCGCAGTCGTTGACTCGCGCCGGTACTCGTGTACGGTACTTCCATGGCGCTTCATTCGGAAAAAGAGCGCCAGTCCAAAAAAAGCGCATTTAAGAAAGCACAAAGTAAAACTATGTTGCTTTTATTGTAAACTACGAGTCAATTATAAACCTGGGACTCTCCCGGCCACCGGAAACACGCAATTATAGATATAATTTATAAACGTTAACTACTGATAACTATACTGTCATTATAAAATAAAAAAAAGAAACACAGTGTTTTCAGTAGGTTTGATGGAAAGCACGTCCATTGCAAGAAAACAACTTATGGATTTGGAGGGTCTTCAGAAGGCAAAGGATGTCGCCAAACTGGGATCAATATGGATCAGTGGATGTTTGATGATTTTTGGAGGGTCTGCTATTCCTTTATGTGTTTGCACCTTCGATCTCCAAATTGATCAACATTGATGTTATTGTCCACCCCACAAAAGAGATATTTCGGGCTATGGATCGACTTTGGGTCGACGAGTTGTTGGTCTGGTGGTGGAGCCTGGAGGGAGGAGGCGGATGAACGGTTGACTGTGAGACCTAGAAGCTGGTGCTCGTGGACAGCTTGTCCGTGCCAAGCTTCATGTTAAGTTTGGAGTATGGACCCAAGTAGATCAGGAGAGGATGGTCCAACCTAACCCATTCATCGGAGATGATCTACCCTCTATCTGACAGCGACCCCAGCAAAGCCAAGTCCCAAACACCTTGTGCTACATCCGGATTGTTTGCAAACACTCTGGCTGAAGCATACTGTATCGCATCATGTTGCTCCAACCTGACATCACCAAACGAATGATTCTAACAAACTTGAACAAATGTACTTGTCCAGTCAACAGGCCTTTGGCTGGGCCGGTGTTCAGCTTCTTTTCACCAGCATCAGACTTGGCCTCTCAGAGGCCCCTGGCAGCACAGTAGATGGACCACACCTGGCATCGTCTTCACGGCCGGAGCACTACGTCGTCTTCACGGCCGGAGCACCTGCCTGCCGTCGCACGGACGACGGACGGTCAGAGAATACGTCTGCAGTACTGCATCGATCGATCTAGCCCATCCGAAGAGTTGCACCGAAAAACACCTCGTTTCGTTTAGACACCGACCTTTCGACCGACCCTTTCGTCGCCCTTTTTGAGGTGAGTGCCATTGTCGAAAAGAGTAACTTGGCGCAGCAGACGCGACCCGTTTGGGACTGCCATAGATGCCGATCAACTGGGGTGGTGCCACAAGGGTCAATGGAAGTGTTTTGTGGGGTGTGGAGAGTGAAATGCACACACCCAGGCTACTGCAACGACCTACTGCCACCACCCGGGGAGACCCCCATAGGCCTCTAGCAGCGTGATCTCACTCTCCCAAAGCTCTTCACCATCGTCGTTCGCCTGTGCTCCGTCAACTCCGACTGTGACACTGTGGCTTTCGGACGAAACATGCGTTCGGCTGCCACGGCTTTCTCGGGGAAAAAATCCTACTCCTACTATCTCTTATAGTATGCTTATGTTCTGGTCATCCTACAATATCAGCGCTGTTTATGCTGTTTGATCTCAGTCTTGTCCCCCCCAAAAACCATGTATTCACCCTCCACCGCATCACCGTCCGCAAGTCCATCTCACGCCTCCAAGTCCATCCTCAGGGCGGTTGGTCTGACCCGGCCCAGGGAGAATGGGCCGACCGTCGTTGGATTCGCCCATGTCGATTCGTGACGTGTCCATGAAAGTCAAAGAATGAGAGGTGCATGGGCCATGGGGTGTCCATGGGCCATGGGGTGTCCATGAATGAAGCAATCGGCCCTGGTTCAGATTCGTGTTTACAGTTGAATGCGATGGCGAATTGTGATAGACCTTCGGAGTGACTGAAAATGGACATGGACCACCCTGCATTGGTGTTCCATGTGTTTCGTTTTGGGGAGACAGACCGACCACATGGACCCTGTTGAAGGTGTTTTTCCCGGTTTCGACACGTCTTGGCCTTGGCCTTATGGATCCTTCTTTGCTTACGCGTCGGCTTCCGCAATGCTTACGCTACCAAGGTGTTTGCTGACGCGGTGTGTTGTTTCATCTTGGGGCTTACGCCGTTCTTACGCGTCGAAATCGTTACCAGTGGTTAACCACCAGAGCAGTTGAAACACTCCTTTTTGACACGTGCACGGGTCAAGGTGTAGAGGAGCTTGAGGAAGCAGATGAGTCGGAGGACGAAGAAGACGAGGAGGATGAAGTAGATGGAGGCCCTCGAAGTTGACGGAGTTTACGGCGTTTCTTGGCTGCAGCTTTTCTCAAAGTCAGGTCTTGGCGATGATTTTCCGAAGACCGACCCAGTGATTTTTGGAGCTTTCTGGTTTTTCAGAAGAGTACTTCTGCTCTTCGCGTTTGTGAAGCTCACGGAGCACCAATGTACAGTCAGCCCAACTCAGCTTCTATCGTCCTGGGAATGACTTTAATCCAAACAGGGAGGGTTCAACGAATCAAAATCATTCATGGCACTAGGGAGTCCAATCAGAGGGATACTATTCAACTATATCCACTTTTGAAAAGTCTACATCAGCATCCTCTTTGTGATTCTTTGTGGCTCTTTTCGGTCACAAAGGCTGAGAGTCCCACGGCAAGACCGTCCGCCAGGTGACCTGCCGAAAACCCTCCGAAAACCGTTGGACCGTCGGGTGGATCGGTGAACGTCCAAATCCATCCAACTCCATCAATAACAATTAGGGGGAGGGATGGGGAGGGGTTCCACCCTGATGGTTGGAATCACCCTTCTTCTTCCCAAATTGCTGCCAACCGATGTTGTGTGCTTCTAAATCCATATGTTCCTTTTGCGGGGGAACAACTATCATGAGTGCTCCACTCCCCCTGAGATCGTCTGATGATGTCTGGTGTTTCCGGATGTGGACCTCCAGGAGGTGCAACAACTGCTGCGCGGTGACCATCTGAGCAGAGTTTCGCGGCAGACGAGCGAAGGCCCCGAACGTTCGAACGGACTCGTGGGCGATGCGCGAAAGGACGGTGTTCGGTGTGGTGTTTGGTCTTGGGGTCGAGATCAGAGGACTGGGGCGTTGAAAATGACAACCGGCCTACTAGGGGTCCCAGTTTCGAGGTCGGTGGCTTAAAGTGAGAAACTGGGTGATGCGTGAGGAAGACGAAGGAAACCATTTATATAGACTGTTCTAGACTTTGAGCTAAGGGTTGTGAGAAGGATTGATTAAGATATATTCATTTCAAATCATTCCAACATGGTGGCTCAAACAATGGTCAGTGGACCAAACACCAGGTAGTGACTCCAATCGCTCTGTGTCTATCATTCACGTGCAAGTCGCATGGTGAATGCCTGATTTGTGCATGGCGACTCCGTCGATTAGGGGTGGCAGTCAACCTCAGTTGCTAATGTTGCTCTCATCAAGGCATCTGCATCCATCTCGCGTCTTCCACTCTTATATAACTCCTACAGTATATAGATTCATATATATATATATACATTATAGATAGATAATAATAGTGATGGATATATAGTGATATATATATATAGAGAGAGAGACCTTCAACAGCTACAAGTCATCCCCTGCAGTTGGATAGTCCTGCACAACTCCCCTGTAAGGGACAGTGCACCAAAACATCACCCAGCAACTCGTTCGCAGATCTGAGAGCACAGCATTGGGTTTTTCCACGGGTCAAGAGCTAGCCAGTCCAATCAAAAATCACTCCCAATAACATATCATCATATCATCCCTATTTATATATAAATATATATATATACAAAAAAAACATATATATATATATATTTTATATTTTTTATTGTACATATACTTCTTACTACAATATTCATACAAAATCCGTGTACCAAATCCATAGCAGTACCAAAATCCCTAGAGCACCCCCACATTGAGGTAGACCCAAAACTGGGTGCCTTGCTCCATCCAACTCTCCCAATTTGCCCCACCTCATTCATGCTCTCATCCACACCTCTGCCGGTCGTTGGTCAACGACGCCGGTCGCGATCCCCAAGCTTCGACGGCTTCTTCGGTCCATCACTCAAAGCTGCCCACTGCACAGCGTAAACGGGGATGGCGCCGGTGTTTGAGTGATGGGTGACCTCTGGAGCTAGGATGTCAGCGGTGGCCTCTCTGAAAAGTCTAGACAAGTCATGTCATGGTCTGTCATGGTAGACGTTTTCATGAGTGTTCAGTTTCTGGACCATCCTGGACCAGGGTGTCCAATGCACATCTCCAAGTCGTGCAGGGATGTGTAGGGTAGTCCAGCCACCCCACACCCCAACTGGCTGGTCCCAGACAGGTTGGTTTCTTCTTCATCGCGTCAGCTCCCAACGGATGATCCACCCGAAGATCGACCGTTCCGAGATCGGCCTCTCAGATCCTCTTGAATGTTGGAGGCCAGCCGTGAGAGCCAGGCCAACAAGATCTGAGCGCCGTTGGACATTGGATGCGCGCGTGGTTTGGCTGGAAGAGCTTGGTGGTTGAGCTGGAAGAGCGCAGGAACACCGACCAGCGTCCATTTTCGATCCGACCGGCGTCGATCTGTCGTGAAACACACGCCCCCCACGGGCCCTGAAAGAAGGCACCGACCATGCGATTAGCTACGGTTGGTTGGCCAAGAAGGATTCATCATTGGTTCTTCACCAACCGAAGCATCTGACAGATTCTATGAGGTTTTTTGGATGCCCCAAAGAAACCCCAAATTCCAAATGGATGGGACATGACTGAAGCATCGTGTCTTTGCCACAGATATCACCGAGAGATGTTGGTATACTCGTGGTATACCTCTTGTAAAACAAAAACCATCACCTTCCCAGTAGACCCTGTGTTTGTAGGTCTGTGCCTTCAGTTCAGGGCACAGCTGCTAGATACATCGAGATACTGTGATCCATCTTTGGTCAGGAATCTGACATGCAGCAACCAACAACATGTCTCCCGGTTTCACCCGAACAGAATATAAAAACCCCGGAACTCTTCCTACAGACCTGACCCCAAACCGAACCTGTTGGAGGTCTCGGTCTCGGTCTCTTGAACAGACGACCTGCCCGATTTCCCTGGCTGGTCTCGGGTGTCGACCGAGAGTCCACCGAGGCTCCGGACCCTGGAGTGGAGCCCTGGTGGTTGATCCGGTGATGTGGGTTCAGGTCCCATTGATCAGGTGAAGAGGGTGAGGTGAAGAGGGAGAAGGTTTCATGAATTTGACCATCACCAGGAGTCACAAAGGGGTGGTGTTTAGTCCTTAAGTGAGTGGATTATGGGCACCCCTAACCTCCATTAAGCACCCCTTTGCCATTTGTCCAACACAAAACCCAACCAATCTGAGAGAATCGCAAATCTCTGTGTGTGTCTGACGAGTTCCCCCGCCCCCATGTGGTCACTTGGACAAGCGCAGACCCATTTTTCTTGCGGCGCGGCTCGGGTCCCTGGCGGGCGGCTCGGCCGGCAAAGCCCTTGGCGATGCGCTCCCCAAAGGCCTGCAGCGGAAAGGCCCTGTCGATCGACCATCAAATCCACTGAGTCGGTCTGGTCCAACAGCGTCCCTTTGGGAAGGCACGTCCATAAGCGTCCTTGGGGAGGCTGTATGGGATTTTTGAGCTGCCAGTGACATCTACAACAGCGGTTTAGAAGGAGGTGCCTTTTGGCGTGCCAAGTTGGAATCTTTCAGGTGTCACCGGAGCCATCAGCTGCTTGGAAGACGGACTCGAAAGTGAAGAACACCGCAGCTTTCGGACAAAGAATCGGCAGCTCAAACGATGGAACGATCTACATGTGTTTGCTAGCGGGCTGAGAACCGCGCCAGTAGTCGTGCACTTGTTACCAAAGCACCAATCATGTCTCTGATGTTGTCACACATTGCATGAAAGTCGGCACCTTTCATTTTTTAATGCGTTTTCTGATGTTCCTCCATGGCACCATCTTATTGCATTGCATATGTTCACGTTGCCCTTGCTTTTGTTGCTGAAATTCCATTGTGTCTCGGATGTTGGTGCTCGCTCTTCGGGAATGTCCAATCCTTGCCGATATTTTCCTATGCTTATCATCACCCAAGAATCGACATTTTCCGCCTTATCTACTTCTAATTATATATCTAATTGTTCATGTCACGCAATCTTCTCTCATCATGCGTATCACGTGCATCTTCGTCCTTTGTGGGGGGGGTAATGACGTACGCTCCGTGATGTCCAACGTCATCGGCATCTTGTGCTTTGGATGGTTTTACATACAACTGCACTATACAACTGCGTTATGTAAGCACACACGCCAATATTCCACCAAAGACCCTCCTCCTTTTCTGTTCTGCACCAGGCCTCCAGAAGCTCCTTGATGCCCACCGTGTCCTGATTTCACCGCCCAGAGCGTGTGAGCGCGGTCGTGGCGAACAGCGGACACCGCCGGTCCCGGGGGCGTCCCGTCCGTCCTCCAAGGGGCACAGTGCACAGCTCGCGCAGAAGCTCGGCGACGCCCGGTCCAAGCGTCGAGTCCTCGTCCGGACGGGGCGGTCCGAAGCGGTGCGATGTGGTCGTTGCTTTTGAAAAGGGGATCGATGGGCGGGTTTTTCAGATGTGTTTTTCTGCCAAGAGTTGGGTGTCTGTCCATCAGTTCTCTGATGATAGAAACACATAGAAACTACATTAACTATCACAAAGATAGAGTGATAGAGCTTCTACATGTTGGGATCTGAAGGACGAATTCAAGAGCCATCTAGCAACCATTGAAGCTCAGGACAGGAAGATTCTCGGCCAATCTTGCTAGTCTGCTAGTCCAACAGCTTACCCTTGGGTCATTTGCCACTTATGGCCACTTGGCAAGCATCTTCTAATCCAGCTTGTGCATAATCACCCGCGTCGCATTTCCGCATCCATTTGGTACAGCTTGCCGACCTGTGTGGTTGTGGGTCAAACCCAGGATACCTTGCTTGACCTACAAGGTCAAGCTACATTGACTCCAGGTTTTGACCCAGCCCCACACAGCCGCCTCTCCATCAAGACCCGTACAACCCCTCAAGCTCATTCACTTCTCCCCCTCATCACACCATCAAGCTAAGCCCCAGCTCGAAAATCAGCTCGGCAGAAGATGGCAACGCCATGCTCCGCCCCGAGGTGAGCATCTGCCTGGCACCACACAGCGTCCGTTGCCATGCACGCTGCGGCGATTTCTTCAGGGGCGACGCCGCCCCCAACAGTTGGAAGAACCCACCACAGGAGCCACGAGGGGTCGTCAATGGAGACCTCTGAAGCTCTAAGGGGCTACTACCCCGGGTCATTCCTGTCATGTTCCTTCTCCGCTCATTCACGAGGTCTTGGGATCTCCGAACTTGACGGCAGAAACCCACCCGGGCCGCCCAACAGCAGGGTTGCAGGCTTTAATATACTCACAAAAGAATACAAAAGGGGTCTCCACAAACCTACAGCTGTGGAATCTGTGGAAAAATAGCTTTATAAATTGTCTCAACTTGTTCGGTGCTTTCAGCCACTACCCCGAACCGACATGACACTCATTCTGAAACCATCGCGCTGAGCTTCTGAAGAGCCGGCGATGAGCTTCCGAATGGCTGAGCCTCTTCTGCACCAGTGGCCAAACTTGCTCCATCCAGGTCTCGTCCATCTGCGGCATCGAGCCAGACGGCCAACGGACCCCATCGGTAGGAGTGGCAACAAGTTTCTTTGGAGGGGAAGGGAAAAAGAGGATTCTTGGGAATACCTTTTGGGCGACTCAATTACACCGATGCCAAAGATTACTCAATACACTCCCTGAAATAACCTTGGAAAGACAAACTTCCGAATACCATACAGGAGTATTTACCCACAGGGAAAAAGACATATCACCGCTTGCGCGACAGGTTTTCGAGACCGCAGGACCTCTCGAATTGAAGCGGTATCACAGCTGGCAACAAATGTCAAGGCCTTCAAGGAGTCTCGATTATATAAATGATGTTCTAGATAAATAGTACAACACAAAGCGATATAATTGATATAATCCTAAGGATCTTGAAGGTACTCCAAGGTCTGTTCAAATACAAGTCGCATCATGGGCAATCCACGGCAATCCCGCATTATATTAACCATTTGTCAACACTAAACGTCCCAGCGCCCCTGGTCATTCTTACATTAAGACGTCCAGCCTCGCCATCAAAAACAATCAAGTCTTGCACTCGACTCCTTACCATCGGGCCCCTTTGTCATCCAATCAAGCTCAGTATGGAACCAGTTGAATTTCAATGCCATGACCATCAAGGAATCCCAAATTTCTCTGGACTTCCAAGTCATGACTGTAGTGTTGCGACTTTATGATCAGGATTCACAATCTTCTCCCAAGGCGTCCCAAGTCATCTACATATATACGATACACTGGTTTTGTTCTCCGAGTAGATGGCACAATTTACAAAATATGACATATAACTTATATGGACCCTCAGCTCGTGGCTGGCGCAGTGGCTCACCCTCTTGTTCCGTCGCCTAGGTGAAAGAAGTCGGAGATGATCGAAAAGCACATGGAAGCTGGCACTCAAACAATACCTGGATACCTTCCCGCAACAGTCAACCACCCAGTCTAGAGATCCCTTAAATGAACGAACTCTACTAAACCAGGAAGAAGGCGCGCGGGGAACACATACACACCGCTTGGATCCATTTGGTCCTTAACTATCTCAGATTGTGTGAAACTATGAGAAGTCCCGGCGCGCAAATAAGAATTGACAAACATATCCCCCTTGGAGTTCAGTCTCTACCCTGGGTATGGTTTTCCAGGAACTTCCAAAGTGAGCACCGTCTATAAAATGTCATCACAGGGTCCCTCCACAAAACCAAGTTTCTATAGAATGATGCACCTGGAATACTATTTGACGGCTACTACTACTACTACTACTACTAC